TACCCGTATTCTTTGAGAATTGTTATAGGTAGGCACAGTGAAGGCAAACCTTTATCTGTCTTTTTCTTTTAATGGTGTAGTTAAGAAGCAATCTTTTAAATCTATAACTATAATTGGCCAATCCTTAGGTATTAGAGAAGGCAGTGGCATCCCAGGTTGTAGAGAGCCCATAGGCTGAATTACCTTGTTAATAGCTCTGAGATCAGTAACCATTCTCCATTTACCAGACTTCTTCTTGATAACAAAAACAGGTGAATTCCATGCACTAGTTGATTCCTCAATATGTCCAGCATCTAGCTGTTTCTGAACTAACTTCTCCACAGCCTCTAACTTCTCAGATGTCATAGGCCATTGACCTACCAGACAGGTTCATCTGTCAGCCATTTTAAGGGCAGAGCTGTCGGTTGCTCTGTAGGTTTGGCACTAGCATCCTGTTTCTGTACAGCCTATATGTTTGGCATCTGTTTTCTGTACTGCCTTACAACATTTTTTCTACCATCAAGAGCTTGTCTATCATTCATATATGATACAGGAGGAATGCTAATTTGGGTATTCCATTGCTGCAATAAATCACGACCCCAAAGATTCATGGCAATATCTGCGACATAGAGCCTCAAACTTCCTCTCTGCCCTTCTGGTCCAATACATTCTATCCTTCTGGTACTTTATTTCACATAAGGTCCCAATTCCTAAAAATTGAACATTTACTTCTTTTAAGGTCCATCCTAAAGGCCAGTTTTTCTGAGTTGTTATTGTTGCATCCCTTCCAGTGTCTAGGACCCTGTAAAATACGTTATTATCAATTTTTACTGGCAATTTTGGTCTGTGATCTTATACAGAAGTTTGCCAAAATATATGTTTTTTGTTTCCTCCAGTATCAACTAGTTTCTCCTCAATAATTAATCTGTCATCCATAGTGCCATTAGTCATTACAATAGATTGTGAATTTTCTAATTGTCCTGAGATAGGCTGTCCTCCACTGTTACTGGGAAAGACCGAACCGCCTTTGATCTGGGGGCCTCTGTTTCCAGACTGCAAAGGCTTACCATGTCTGTCTGTGGTCGACCAGCATTCCTTGGTCCAGTGTTTGCCTTTGCCACAACTCTTGCAAAGACCAAAAGGCTGAGGCCTTCTGTTTGAAGCATTTCTGGTAGAAGCATTATTTCTAGGAATGCTTAGTCTGCTGCAGTACCTACTCAAATGTCCTAGTCTACCACAATTAAAACATCTAGGGTTTTGATGTCTTTTGAAACTTCTGGAGACTGCTTCTCCAACCCAAGTCTGTATCTCCTCATGGTTAGGACATTTTTCATCTTGATTCCTCTTTAATCCTTTAGAAATGCCCTCTCCTACTCAGGTCCCTGTCTCCACAAAGCTTTCCGTTGTATTTGGGAAGACTGGTCCAGCATTGCTGATATTAAATTATTCCAATCTGAGGGAGTGATTTTATTGTCTGTCACCCAGGTGCTTAGTAACTCTTTAACATAAGGGCTGTGGACTCCATAAGCCTCCATAGCTTGTTTAATTTCCTTCAGTTCTTTCATGGGAATAAGTTCCCACTCATGAGTAGCATAACTGGCTTGGTTCCTTCGTGATGCTGGCCTTTCTATCATAGTTACTGGAAAAGGTCTCTTGGGTGTCTAGTAGCTATGCTTCTTTCATTTCCTGGTAACCTAGCATCTAGTGCCTCAGCGTCTGATGTTTCAGACGGTGAATCTTCTAACGATTGAAATTTTGTGACCGTGTCATCTCTGAGGTCTTGGACTTCCTGCATTAAAAATTGTTCCAATTCCTTGCACTGGTCAGTCAAGCGTGATTCCAAGATTTTCATACAATTGTCCCTAGAGGCTCTAAAGGCATCTATTTTGCCTTCCAGAAAATGTATCCGGTCTGCTAGATGGCCATTGTCTTCAGACACTGAACTGACCCTGTTAATTTGGAAAGTTCCTCCTGGCTAGACTCTATCTTAGCCATAAATGCAGTGGACGTTGAATTAAATGTATCTCAAAGGTTGTTCTGATTAAATTCCAAATTATCTGTTTTGATAACTAAGTCTCCTTTTTCCTGAATTTTTTACTCATTTGTACAGTTTGTCTATTATTTGTCTGTTTGCCATGCTTCTTCCATGTGACTACATGTATTAACACACTAATGAGCATGGTACAAATACATATGAAAAATATCATAATTGTCCTTTACTGCCTAACCCATGATATTGGTAATGAAGTCTCTAAAATCCTGCAGTGTTAAGTTACCTGCCATGTTATAATTAGATGTTCTTACCACCAATTAGTAATTCCTGAACTGGAAAAATCACCTCTAGTTAGTTTTTGTCCATGAAATTAAAATACCTGTAGTTACTGTGCTTTGGCAGCAGATGGCGCGGTGCACTGCCAAACAGGACTTCTCTGCAGAAGATCGATTCTTTCCAAAAAAAACTGTGAATGCTTAGCGAACAGATTTGGGGACCAAAAAGGGCTGGGGAAGTTGAGGGACACACGGCTATAAATAGCTGTGAAATCGTATGGGAAGAAGTGGGGTGGGCAGCCACCAGGCTTGTAGCGGGGCTGCAACAAGCACCGTGTGCCTGGGGCTTTGTGTTGGGGGGCTGTGCTGGCCAGTGGCCTGCTCCCAGCCCAAGAGCACTCTCTTCTAGGCTTCGGTGGCCCTGCCGGGCAGCGGGAGGGGGAGAATCAGGCAAGCGCAGGTTGTGGGTCGCTGATGGCCAGGAGTGCATGCTCCTGCTCTAGCAGAAGAGGGAGAATGGGGTTTGAATGGGATTCGGGAGCGGTGAAAGCCATGGGCACGGGTTCAGGCGGGAACCGGTGCAGACTCCTGAAGTGGGGATGGGAGAAATGTGGGTGCCCTGGCAGGGCAGCGCAGTGAGCGGGGTGCGCTGGCAGGCAGCTCAGGGTGGGGGGTTGGAGTCAGGATGCCTGCGGTGGGATTGTTTATAGTGCAAACGCCTCTTGAAGCGGGCTGGAACGGCAGGAATGAATGGTGCAGTTTCCCTCGGCAAGGGGAGCGGCTGGAATCCCGATGAGCACTCACCTCAGGGCTACGCCAGAAGCCACCTGCAAGAGTGGCACGGCTTTGCATGTTCTCCCAGAACAAAAAGGTTGCCACCAGACGGCAGAAAGTTAAGGGGAGGAGGGGGACACTCACCTCTGGACCCAAGCCGGCTGGCTGGCCACCAGCGGCAGAGGCTATCACCTCTGTGTAGGGTGGATTTTCTACTCTGACAGCTGAAGTGGAAGGTCAATGCAATAGGGAGTATAATATATGTATTTACCAGAATAAGAACTTACATACAAAAGGCTGGGGAGTCAGAAGTGTGGCAGGCTTCCAGGGGAAGAGAGGAGAAGAGAGATTCGTTTCTCTTTCACTTCCTTTTATCTCTACCTGTCCTAAATTTCCTTATCCCTACCCTTAGGGTGGATAGCTTTGTGGGGCTCACCCCTACATAAGGGGACAGGACATTTTTTTTTTTAATCACTGATGAAATTTAACACCAGGATTGTCTGGTAGGCCACACCAAGAACTGCCTCCTTGGTACCTGACTTAATTTCCACAATTTAAGTCCCAGGCATTGAGCTTCCATTAGCCTGGGCCCTTAACCTCTGGCTAAGTGTGTTGCAAAGTTAAAAAAAGTGGTAATACCAGATGTCAGTCTTTTGAGCAGGTTCCATCCTGTACCTCCACATGTAAGGAGGTTCTCCCAACTTGGCCACTTCAACAGGGTTAGGCATCAGCCTTAATGCTGACCAGCACAGGAGGGCTACTACCTTCACAGAGTGATCCCTACCTTTAGCCCTGGAGAAAGCTGGCTATGAGGGGCTTAAGGCAGGCCAATCTTGCAAGTTCCTTCCAAATGTAGCTGAAGGATCAATAAAGGTGGCCTGCTAGAACATGTTTTCCAAGTATGGTGGTACATACCTATAATTCCAGCAGCTAAAAACACTACTACTGGTTTGCCCCTTAGCTTACTGGTATACCATGCTGCAGTTCCTGTTTGTATTTGAGACAGGATCTTGTCACACAGCCCCAGCTGGTCTCTTAAAACTGATTGTGCCTCCACCTCTTGGGTACTGGGATTATAGGCATAGTCCCAGTTTGCCAAATTCTTTTTTTGCCTCCCCTTTGAGACAGGCAGACAAAGACAAGGTCTCCCTATACAGTCCCCCAAGTTGACCTCAAACTTTTGGTTTTGTTTTTCAAGTCAGAGTTTCTTTGTATAACAACACTGATTTTCCTGGAACTCAATTTGTAGACCAGGCTAACCTTGAACATATTATAGAGCTAACTTGAATTTCTAGTCCTCCTGCCTCCCAACTCCTGGGATTACATGCATGCAAGTTTATGTGGCACTGGGGAACCAAACCAAGAGACCCATGCTAGGCAAGCATTCTACCAAAAATGTAAAACTTGTTACAAGTGTTCTCTATATCTTTGGTTGAAATGTGAAGCACATCAAGGTGGAACCCATTTTTAAGAGTTTTGTTGGCTGAAATATTTCTTTGACTAACTGCTAGGTATACTGTTATAAGAGACTAAATCTCAGGTCCTCTTCTAATTTTTTTTCACAGCAGTACATTTTCAGTGCCAACTCATCCTACACAGAAAAGAATGAGCCCAAGCTTCAAATCCCATAAACCCCCCTGTAACTAGTTCTACCCTGACTGAAGCAGACCAAAACATAAAAGGCAGAGCTCAGAAAGAGAAAGTTGACAACATGATTGTGTGTCAACAGGCCTTTTTCATGCTAGTGTATCTTTTTTTTTTTTTTGGTTTTACGAGACAGGGTTTCTCTATATTGTTTTGGAGGCTATCGGTCCAGCCTGGCCTCGAACTCACAGAGATCCGCCTGCCTCTGCCTCCCAAGTGCTGGGATTAAAGGCGTGCGCCACCATCGCCCGGCCATGCTAATGTATCTTACACTATGCTAGGAACTGAATACCAGAAAGGATGATTCTCCCCTCCCCAATGAACACATGGTAAAGTTTTCAGAAAGGTATTAAGTTTATTAAATTTTTTTTTAAAAAACCACAGCTACTGAATATGGAAATGACTTATTTACACATTTTATGCTAGGACATGAGTTTTAATTAGCATTTGAAATAAGTTTTTCTATTAGAAATAACAAGTCCTTTGGCAGATTAATGAAAACATAAATGACTGCCCCAATTAGAAGCAAATAAACTAATGCCTTTAAAATGCTTTACATGGAAGCTGGGTGGTGATTGGGCACACTGTAGTCCCAACACTTGAGAGGCAGGCAGATCTCTGAGTTCAAGGCCATCCTGCTCTACAGAGCAGTTCCAGGACAGCCAGGATTACAGAGAAACTCTGTCTCAAAAGAAAAGCTTTGAAAGATAACTACTGTTTAAACAAACACAAATTTTGAAAAATGTATTCTTCATTCAGACAATATCTTTGCTTACAAAGGCAGACATGAAAACCACATGAACACTCCTCCCCTTAAGTACATGCTCCCTGGCTGCACTGTAACGATGACTCAGGGTTTCCAGAGCTTCAAGAGCCCATCCTCACTGTAGGTGGCAATCAGGTTCTGATGAGGGTGGTGTGCGATTCCAATCACATCCTTCTCATGCACCTACAACATGGAAAACAGTCTTACTTCTAAAACCACTCTCAAGAGGCCTCTAGAGTTGGCTGGGAAGACATAATTGGAAAGCTTTTATTTTGTTAAACCACTAAAATTTGGAGACCATTTATTATTATATCAACTGGCATTAATTACTCCTCAAGCCAGGTGCTGCACATGACTTTAATCCCTGCACTTAGGAGGCTAGGCAGCTGGATCCCCAAGTTCTGGGACAGCCTGGACTACACTACACAGAGAAACCCATTTTGGAGAAAAAAGAATTACTTCTCATAATATCTTCATTTTAGTTGAAACCTTAATAGCTTAAAACTGAAACGTGTCAAAAGCAATCAAATTGAAGGATAATATGCAAATATACAGTAAGTAGTTAACCTTCAAAAGTAATGGAGAAAGCCTGTCCCTCCAACCCCTCTGCCCCAGAAACTCTGGCCTAGACAGGTAGTTGTCCCTTCTCTAAAGCCAAACTGTACTACATACAGCTGATTTCTAATAGATACCACATATCTAACTATTTATTGTAAACGCCTTCACTACACGTTCCTAATGATGGCAGGCTGCCTGAAGAAGGCTCTCCTTTAGAGTTCAGAGAATGCGCATTCCCACGGTTCCCTATGTGGTGTTGAGTACTCACAGTCAGCGTTCTCTCCAGCTTGCCAGTGACTGTGCTGAAACAGTAGAGCACGAAGTCCTCTCCGACGCAGTAGATCCACTCACCCCGTGGGGAGAGCGCGCAACAAACGAAGTCACCACCTTCTCTTTTACCAGAGCTGAAGCTTCTGACAATCTAGACACCGCATCCAAAACAAAAGCAAACACCAGGTTGATAGCATGTCAACTGCAGGCCACTAAACCACTAAACTACCACTGCCACTAACCTAACATTTAATAAGGGATCTCTGTCTGGAGACAGGGTCTCATGTAACCAGGCTGGTTTCAAGCTTGCTAAGCAGTCCAGATTGACTTTGAATTCCTGACACTTCTGCCTGTAAGCTCCCAAGTGCTGGGATTAAAGGCATATGTCACATACCCAGAAAACAAAACTTTAAAAACTGACATTTTACACTGTTATTTGAGGCAAGTTCATTACCTCACATACAATCATTTTCTAAATCAATATACCTCTAGTTTTCAGTGCTAACTGGACTTAAGTTCACCAGTCCACTCTTAACAGATGCAATGTGTATCCTCCACCCAGGATGGAATACTACATTTTGCTTTATGATATACAACATTAAATTCATCTTAGGAGTGCTCACCTACAGTCCCAGCACTTGGGAGACTGAGGAAGAAAGATTCAAAATTCAAGGCCAGCCTAGGCTACACAGTGAGACATTGCTGCTCTCTTCCTGCTAGTATCCCATGTTAGTTTTAGTGGTAGATGTTACAAGAGAGTGATCCACACCACTCTGGACCTCCCTAAAAGGGATTGTTGCTATCTAAAGGAGGCTAAAAGGCAGAGCAGAGCTCAGCATCGTGGTGTACACCTACAATCCCAACACTTGGGAGTCTGAGACGGGAGCATCATTGAGTTTGAGGGTAACCCAAGCTACATAACAAGATCCTGTCTCAAAACACAAAAGACAGATTAGATGAAGGATGAAAAAGCATCACACACACACTGGAGAAAGGATGTGTACGTCTGCAGAAGCCCCTTCTGTACTCACCTGCCCCTGCATGTTCATGATGACCACTGTGTTTGATCGGTTGCACACAACAAAGTGCTCTGGGTTTTTAGGAAGGAGGATCACGCTATTGACGGTGATATCTGTCCCTGCAGTGCTGCCCAGGGACTTAAAGGTATTCGAACATTCTGTAGTCTTCATATTCCAGATCTACAACACAAAAATGTAAAGCATAACATTTAGATTATGAGAATCTCTAAAGTGTTAAGGATTAAAAATTGACAATTAGATTGTAAGAAAATCAAATAACCAATACTGCCATGTGTACAGAAGCCACTCTTTATCATTTAACTGGCATAATAAAATGAAAACCACAAGCTAAACAATAAAAACCATTTATGATCAAGGGTCGTGCTATCTTCATAAACACTTGGAAGTCAGCACACTAGCACATACCTCTAATCACAGCCTCAGGGAGTAGAGAGTTCAAGGTCAGCCTGGGTTACTGTATAGCAAGATCCCATCTCAAGCCAAACAAAATACCAGGCATGGCACATACCTACAATTTCAACCTTCAGGAGGCCGAGATAAAAGAATCCCTACTTTGAGAGAGAGTACATTATTCTAAGATAGCCTGGCAAAGAAGGGGAGAAATTGCCCAGGATCCAAGGATGTGGCTCATAGTCACTCTATTTAGAACTCTTTCTACACCTGACAAAGCTTGGGCTGTATGAGTCTGAGGTTATGTGAGTGTGCCGTTTAGACCAACAAACAGGGAACACACACAGCATACTTTTGTCTCTGACTCACAAGCTGTACCTCACCATCCTGACCAGTGCTGCCTTCTTAAAAAGCAGCAGTGAGACAGACATCCCAGAATGAGTTAGTGGTGACACCTTACCTTCACAGTGCCATCGGAAGACGCACTGATAATGTAATGTCCATCTTGTGTGAACGTTGCCTCATTAACAAAGGAGGAATGACCTCGAAATTCCTTCAGGGTTTTTCCAGATTTTAAACCATGAATTCTAGCAAAGAAAATGAAAAGAATAACACTCAATGTTATTTTGCAAGCAAATCATTGAATGCATTTTAGATGGATTACAAAAATACTACAATACTAAATGAAGAAATATACACAAAATTATGTCAAACAGCAAGAGACTGCAAGAAGTAACAGTAACCACAGGGTTCAGCCCAGAGAGTAAATAAGAGATTAACTAACGGATCTCAGCTAGGTCCCAGGATACAGGTAGCTCCATAGACCACATTTTGGTTTTAAAGACAAGCGTTTTACTAGGGTTACGAGAATTCGGGGTGCATCTGTCTGTGCCTCCCAAGGGCTGTGAGATCAAGCTTCCACCTCCACACCAGCTTCACAGACCACACACTGAGAAACAGGAAACCCTGTTACTTCACCCTTTCAAATCTCTTCTGGATAAAGAGCCAATGCATAGAGGAGTGCTATGCCACCTGAACCTGAGGAAATGAGGCCTCATATTCCCTTGCCCTCCCTATCACCCCATCATGGAAACAGCATAAAGACTCACTAGTAACTGGGGCCTTATTTTATATTTTTAGTTATGGGCCTAGCCTTTAACAGCTGAGCCATCTCTCCAGCCCGGCCTTATTTTATCAAATCGTCATGAGGACAGTTTGGGATTCCTGTTACCTTATTGTTTGGTCGAAAGACGCACTAAGGATCTGACTGCTATCCTTAGAAAAGCTTAGACAGGTGACACCTTTACTATGTGCCCTTTCAAATCTTCTTAAACACTGTCCACTTTGAATCTTCCACACCTGTGTTAAGAAAATAGAAATGTGAATAAGATGTTAATACTAATATACCAAGACAACAAAGATGCATGCTAACAGTTCAATCTGGCATGTCTACTGCAGTAGTACAATGACGTGCAACCCTCTGATTCCCCAAACTGACAGGCAGCTCAGAACTAGGTGCATTATCAGCAACTAAACAAACCACAGATAACAAGCTGCATACCATCACCTTTAAATATATGTTGTTTTGTTTCGTTTTTTGGTTTTTCAAGACAGGGTTTCTCTGTAGTTTTGGAGACTGTCCTGGAACTCGCTCTGTAGACCAGGCTGGTCTCGAACTCAGAGATCCACCTGCCTCTGCCTCCTGAGTGCTAGGATTAAAGGTGTGCACCAATGCTGGCTCTAAATATATATTGTAAGTGTATATATAAGAATAGATAAATAGATAGGGAGGAATAGATAACAACCTATAATACATTACATACAGTGAGCTACAACCAAAATAGACACGAACAGATCTGAACTGAAGTTCCAGATCTGCAAGTTACCAGCTGTGCCCTTAAACATGTTAATAGACTATAAACATGCTAGTAATCCCAGACAGAATCATTAGTAAAATTGAAAAAGAATAAGGAATTAGTATCAAATTAATCCTCAATATATAGGAGTTATTTTGATAGTGAATGTCATGTGTATCATCCCATTAAAAATTTGAAAATGTCTAAGCATTCTTGGCACTGATCCATACCTTAATCTTTCCATCTTGGGCCCCTGTCGCTAACATTTCAGTGTCTCTGCTGAAACACATGCAGAGGACAGCATCATCCATCATCATGAAGTTATCCTGGGCCTGGTACTTTAGATCCTAAGGAGATGATGATTAACAGTTATTAAAATAACACAAAACCAAACCCCTGTCCCTGTGGCCCCACCAGAGCCCTAGAAATGGACTAAACGCAGGAGTGAGTTCTAGGGTCCTGAACTGCAGTTCTCCTACGTGCACAGCAAGTACTTTAACTACTGATCCATTTCCCCAGCCCCTGCAAAACAGATTTTGATTTCCTTAAAAGAAAAAACTCCTATTTAAAAGAAAATAGGAAAATGAACAAAGCTTGGAAGTTACTATCTTACAAGCTTGAGGACTTAAATTCAATGCCCAAAACTCTTGAGTTTAAAAAAAAAGTGTGGTATACATTTGTAATCCCAGAGCAAGGAAAGCAGAGCTAAGTCTGGACCTCGCTGACCATCCAAGACAGCCTATTTGAGGAGTTTCACTCCAGTAAGAGAGCCTATGTCAAAAAGCAAGGTGGACAACACCTGATGACCACCACCCGAGGTGTCCTCTGGTCACCACACACACATACATATGTACATGTGCACCTGCACAGACTCACATGTGCATATACTTGGGAAATGTGGTCACAGACTTCACAGAACAGAAGACTTGGATGGCAATTTACATATATAAATTTCACTCATGAGAAATACAATTAATATTACAATTAAGTGAGACTGGCAACAATCTAAAGGGATTCATTGCATAGATCAGGATTCATTACATGCAATGCAATGTAATTCAGCAATTTCAAAAACACTACAAAGAAAATCAGGGGCATAATAAAGTACATGGCACACTCAAAACATTCCTAGATAGCTAAGAAATGGGTAACCCTGGCTCAACCAAGGAAGAGATCTGACTGGTTCAAGGACGAGACTAATACTTTATGGCACCTTCTGAATATTAGACAGACATGTTACTCACTCAAAGTAACATTGTAAAAATGTGTTTAATTTTTATAAAAATCCATGAAAAGTATAGATAATAAAGGTCTCCCCCATTTAATAAAAATTTAATTTAAATGAGCTTTTAAACTATAAAGATTCTTCCTCAATCATCTAACTCAGAAATAAGACATAATTAACTGAAAATTAGCAATTCTTCCTTAATAAGTTAATTCATTTGAAATACTTTACCTTTCTGATTTTTCCCGTAGTGAAGTTCCACACTTCAATAAATCCATCAACAGATCCGGTGACCAGATACTGGCCATCTGGAGAGAACCGAGCACACTCCACATGGGATTTCTGACCAAACTGTTTCAAGTAAAACAAAGAACAGATAGAACAGATAAATTATTACCTAATAGCCTATATAGTCCCAGTTTTAACCAAAGAGCAAATCATCTCTTTAAACATAAAAGATTGTATTTTCCAAATACACTATGTATCTACTGTGTATACAGCTGAGGTGAGCCACTGAGAGGCTACAGCGGTGCCCAGGGGACATCAGGAGCACCCCGAGCACTGCCAGAGCTCTCTTCCCTGGTACCCAGCCCCTGCCATCAGGCCTGGCTCTGCACATGCGCACTCAGCTGTTCACAAGTGTCCTGGACGCCAAACGTACCTTAATGTGCCTGCTCAGTTGCGTGGGAAACTTTTCTTCCTCCACATCTTTGACAGCGGCTTTACCTCGAAACAAGTCTATGGTCATCCCAGGGGGAAGCAAGCCCTGGTGCTGCTGCCACTTCAACGCCTGTGAAAGAGAAAGCACAGCAGTCTGTAAAGCAGCTCTGAAGGCCAGTACCTGCTGCTCAGGCACAGCCATGCCTGAGAGGATGCCCTCCCGAGGGACTAACTTTCCAGTCACACAGCTATGGGTCACTGAGGCCAAGAGCATGGGCTTTTCATGCAGACAGGCAAAAACTACTGTCTCACACCTATTTTCCTTTATCATAATCACAAATTTGGAAATCAGGAATTTCCCAGAGTTCTAAGCCTCAAAACCAGCCACTAATAAGTTTACAATAATCCCTTCTAGTCATTTTCTTCTCACATGATGTATTTAATTGCTCTATTAGTAATTATACTATATTTCTGGTTTTCATCTCATATCACATCATGCTATAACATGCCATATACATGCATGCTTGTGTAAAGAATTGCAAAGCTATCTTTTTTGAGACAGAGTTTCTCTGTGTAGCTTTGGAGCCTGTCCTAGAACTCTCTGTAGACTAGGCTGGCCTTGAACTCACAGACACGACCACAGAGCTGGTAAGACTATGGATTCTATGAAGCATGAACATTAAACCCAAGTTCCCTAACAGCACATTCCAACATAACTCTAAGTGATGTTAGAGCTTTCGTCCTGAATGGCTAGTCTACATTGCTGCTCCAGAAAACACGGAAAAGTGGCTCTGCACAGCTGCTGAGCAACCAGCCTTGGAGGCAGGCTCTACTCCCAGGCTGTGTGATTTCCTTAGCTCAGAATATGCCTTATACACAGGAACCAGCGCCAGGCGTTCAGGGGAGGCTTACCTGTCCCAGCAATGCCATGAGACGAGATGGAGGCACCACACTGACTTCCCCAGCTAGCGCCTGGGCAATTGCTGCTCTCCTCTTCTCTTTGCTACTTCCGTCGGGATAGGCCTAGGGAAAACAAACAAAGAAAAAGAGGTGGCATCATTGCCAAGGAGAAGCAAGGCATGAACGTATACATTTAAAGCTCCTCTAGAAAGCCAGGATTCCCAGCGCCCACACTGGACAGCTCCCAACTGCCTGGAACTGCAGCTTCAGGGGCTACTCTGCCGGAGTCTGCTCCGACAAGCAGAGGTGCGAGGACGGAGAAACAGCAGACAAAAGAGACAGACTGACACAGGAGAGATCAGCCCTGCCCCGTCGATGCCTTTCAACACACCACACAGCCCCAAGGCTAAAGCTTAGTATTTTAAAATAACTTTCCAATTCTGCACACTGCATTTCTGAAGCATGGAAGAAAGCTGGTATCAGTCAATCTGAAGAGACCAGGTAAGCAACAGAGACAAAGGAGGGAGTCTAGTTCCTGAAGTATTCGCAGGGCCAAAGACCCATATTCTTCAGAAATCTCTTTCTATTATTGAGTTCCTTCCTCTGTTTGACAGCCTCTAGTGAAAGTTCATGTGGGAAAAAAACTGTGTTTGTGTGAGTATATGTACAATTTCATCCCTGGATGAGATCACTATGTGGGGAAAAGGTGTTTGCCACCAAGCATGATGAAATGAATTTGAATCCCATGGGAGAAGACAAGAACCAACTCCTATAAGTGGTCCTCTGACATCCACACATGTATACCTGCCCAAACACATATACACAAGAATTTTAAAATTTTGCAAAGTGACATTCTTTAATTTTCACAATTAACAAAGATGTCTTTTCACTAACATGTCCTTACCTCACGAGGATCAAAGTAGGACCTGGCCAAGAGGTTTTCAAGATGAATATAGCGCTCTGGTTGTGTTTGCTTCAACATAATCATAGGATCTGTCTGTCTCAGGAGTGACCTGGCAGCACCCAATTCACGAAGTTCTATCAGTTCCAAAACAACCTGGACAATGGAAAGAAAACACATTCTTTTAGCACATCCTCTGTCAGTATTCCTTTTCTTTCTTTTTCCACCCCCCAGACAGGGTTTCTCTAGATAGCCCTGGCTATCCTGGAACTCACTATGTAGACCAGGCCATCCTAGAATTCAGAGACCCACCTGCCTCTTACCTCCTAAGTACTGGGATTAAAGGTGTGTGCTATCATGCCTAGTTTCTTATTAGTACTTTTTTCAGTAAAATTTGGCCTGTCAAAAGTAATTTTCTATACTAGAAAACGCTATTTTTCTTCTTCACTGGTAATTTCAAGTGGATAACTAAAGTGTTATAAATAGGAGTCACAAAAGCATAGTAGATAGCCCATCTGTCTCAGAAAACTATAGCTAATAACTTCAATCCTTCAAATTCCACCTTTCTTTCCTCTTCCTTTTTGGTTTGCTTAGTTTGCTTTGTTTTGAGACAGGGTTTCACTACTATGTAGCCCTAGATAGCCTGGAACTAATTATGTAGACCAGGCCACGCTTGCCTCCCAAGATTAAAGATTTGAAACAGCACACCTGGCTGTTTAATCTTTTATATAGTGCAGCTAGTACCTAAGGTGAGGGGAATCTACATCAAACTTACTGATGTGTATTTGATACTGGAATACTTCTCTCTCTCTGGTCTTACTAAATAAAATAGCCTTGGCTGGCCTGGAACTTACTATGTAGACCACCTGGTCTCAAACCATTATACTCAACTCGAGAATACTTATTTTATGACCACCTAAAAAGTTATTTAGTTTCCTTGAGTTTCAGCCTCAAAACCATGCCAAGAAATAATTTAAATTTGGAAAAATACTGACTCTTCCTAGAAAGAAGAAAAAAAAAAAAAAGAAAAACACTGTTGAGTCTTGACAATGTGTATTTTACAGTCATTTATGTATCCTTTGAGCATTTGAAGGCTCACTGATACTTCCCAACTAAGGTACCAACCCACAAACGTCAGGAGCATGACTTCATTCTTACCTGTTCATAGAGATCAATAAGGGTTTTGTCTGGCAATTTCAGAGACTGTATAGCTTGCAAAACAGTATCCCAATGGCCACTATTAATATCAGCCACGAAACTTTCAATGCTGTCCACAGTATTGAGAGAGACAGTAGTCTCCTCCTGTAAGGTAGCCAATGCCCGATGTAAACTGTTCTCCTTCAAGTACTGCATGATAAGACGAATCACACTGAAAAGAAAGAAAGCCAGCCATCAGTCCAGAGATCTCCAGCCACCAGAGGCCAATTTAACCCTTTCCTAACCACCCGCCTTCCATTTAATTATGAAAGTGAAACTGCGAAATCAAGGTTCCGAAGGACTTCAGAACTATAGATGAGAGGGGGAATCATTTGCCCAATGTCTCCCACTCAGAGAGAAAGTTGGTAGTCATTATTATTCTGATCACTGGATTTACTGGATATTTGTGTGGAAAACTTCAATGATATTTTTTAAAGCATCTGACCGGGTGGTGGGGTCGTACAACTTTAATCCAGATTTAAAAAAATTATGAGGCAGATAGCTAAAACAGACTGACAGATATAGATAGGAAATCTTGGTCCATTTTTTAAAAAAATGGCAAGCCAAATAAATAAATAAAATTAAATAAATAGCTTACACCATTAAATAGATTAATTCATTAAATAAATAAAAAGATCATCTACATTGCTGCAGTAATTCTTGGTCCATTTAAAACAATGACAAGCCAAATTAAAAAAACAAATAGCCCTTAGATTAAATAATGAAATAAATAAGTAGATTCAATTATTTTTTGTTTTTTGTTTTTCGAGACAGGGTTTCTCTGTATTGTTTTGGTGCCTGTCCTGGAACTCTCGGTAGACCAGGCTGGTCTTGAACTCACAGAGATCCTACCTCACCCCTCACCCCCCCTCTCCGTGCTAGGATTAAAGACGTGGGCCACCAACGCTCAGCTAGATTCAATTATTAAATAAAGTAAATAGATGAAATCATCTACATTGCTATCGAAAACCTTAGTTCATTTTTAAAATAACAAGGCCGATAAATAAAATTATCTACATGACAAATAAGATCTACATTGCTGTAGGAAATCTTGGTCCATTCAAAAAATAACAAATAAGCCAAATAAATAAAAACTTAGATAAATAAGACAGACTGACAGAATCATCTAAATTGCTGCAGGAAATCTTGGTTTCTTAAAAAAAAAAGACAAGACAAGACCTTCCTACCCGCCTCTTCAGTGCTAGGATTATATAGATGTGCGCACTCCACACCCGGTTTCCAGTCTTAAACAATACACAGCAGGTCTCAGTCTCGGCGGATTTAATAAACTTCGCTCTTCTGCAGATCTCAGGGCAGATCTAACCACCTTGCCCTCGGAACACAAACGCCCGCTAGTTCCCATGTTACTTGTTAGCAAGAAGAGGCAGACGGGGAGTCCTGGAGAAGTCCACGAAGGACTCTGCCATCAGCAACTCCACGCCTGCCTGGCTCCTCGCCGCGCCCGTCACTCTGCTGACCCCAAACTCAAACTCTGTCTCTCTGTCCACACAGACGCTCTCATCCACAAGCCGCACACCACACCTCGGGGCCACACCGGGGCTGAGCCAAGAGAAGCAACGGCGCCTTCACGGACGCAGACGCAAAGCTGCCTCCCGGTGACACCCGCGGCACTGAGCGAGGGCAGAGCGGGGCACGGCAGTCAGGTCGGCCCCGCGCTCCCCCCCAGCCCCACAGGCGGGCCGCGGGGCCCCGCGCTCCCCGCCCCAGAGCGGCTCTCTGCAGCCCCCTCCGCCCTGCGCCACACCACACCGGGACGAGCCACGGCAGTACTCACTCGGAAGACTCGATTTCGATCGACATCGTGGAGTCGCTTCGGGTCCGGGCCCCTCTCAGCGCAGACCGGGTCTCACAACACTTCGAGAAACCTCCGGCGGCCGCCTGGCGTCACTTCCGCTCGACGGAGGTCTAAGGGCGACGACGGAAGCGCCGTGCGTGGGGGACGGGGCCTAGCGTGCTTGTCAAAAGTCTGTCTGGAGCTGGCGAGACGGCTCGGAAACTAAAGGCGACTGCCGCGGATCCTGGAGAGCTGAGTTCGATCCCGGGACCCGCAAGGCAGAGGCGGAGGCGGAGAACTGGCTGGCTCGCTCGCCCCCTTCCTGGCTGAGCTGTGGCTCGCCTCTGACTGCACGCCAGCGCAGCCACCGCGTCCTTTTATGTAGCCTGGCTGTCCCGGAGCTCGAAACTCCGCCCTCTGGATTAAAGGGTGTGCCACCACGGAGCTCCTCCTGCCTCCGCCTCCCCGGTTCGGGATTAAAGGCGCGTTGCTGCAGTACACTTTTACTCCCATCACCCTGGGATTTCGAGAGCATCCTGATCTGCTCTCAAACAAAGCAAAACAAAAACATTGTATCTATTGGGTGAGTGTGTGCACTGTGTATGGATGTGTCTGTGTGTGTGTACGTGTGAAGGACAGGATAACGTCAGAGGAGCTGATTTTCTCCTCCACTCTGTGGATCAAAGTGATCAAACTCTGTTAGGTTACCTGCTGAGCCATCTCACCGGCCATGTCGTATTATTTAGTTCAGCTAAATTACTTCTTTATTTTACCTATAAAAATAAATCTTCTGGGGGGAGGGCACGGGAGGAGGGGAGGGAAAGGGAGAGGGACCTCGAACTGACTTGTGAAGCAACCTTGTTTCTTATCTAAATTTAAAATGGAAAATAAAAAATAATAATAATAATAAATAAATAAATCAAAGAACTTATAAGAAAATTACCCTAGGAAAATATTGTGAATTATAATCAATTATTAAAATGCATTTAAGATTTATTAAAAAAAATAAATAAATCTTCTATATAATTAATTAATACAAGGCTTTAGTGTCTTCTATAATTTTTATTCCATTTTTAATGGAATCGCTTTTTATAATTCCAATATAATTATTTTTATACATTCAGGTTTATTTATTTATTATTTATATAGATATTATAAGCAACTCCTGCATTCACTGTGTCTTTAATAGTAAGGAATGAGTGCTTTTTTTTGGTCTTTTTTTTTTTTTCTGGAACTAAGGAACAAACCCAGGACCTTGCACTTGCTAGGTAAACACTACCACTGAGCTAAATCCCCACCCCCTACTGCTTTTTAATTGTCCTGCGAAGTGGCAAGTTTCCTTAAGACATTTTCTTATTTTTTATTTATTTTTTTATTTTTTGAGACAAGGTTTCTCTGTGTAGCCCTGGCTGTTCTGGAACTCACTCTGTAGATCAGGCTGGCCTTGAACTCACAGAGATCCGCCTGCCTCTGCCTGCTGAGTGCTGGGATTAAAGGTGTGGGCCACCAACACCTAGCAAGACCCAATCTTAAAAAAAAAATCACTGTACTTCATAAAAATATTTGTAAATGTTTCCTATACATCGTGTAGTGATATATTATTTATGATTTATTAAAGCTTGCCTATGGATTCAAAAAGTAAAGTCAGCCACAAGCCATAGAAGCCAGGCACACACCTTTAATCCCAGGGCTCAGGATTAAGAGGTAGAGGGATTTCTGTGAGTCCAAAGTCATCCAGATCTAGACAAGATTGAATTAGTCTAAAAGAGAATTATAGTTCACACCTTTAATCCCAGGACTCATGAGAAGTATACATGACAAAAGCAAGGACTCAGTATCAGGTATTCATTCTCCAATCATACTGAAAAGAGGCAGCAGGGTCAGCCATTTAGCCTGAGCTTGAGGTAATACCTAGTGGCCCATTACTTTGCCTCCCTGATCTTCAGCTTGAACCCCAATATCTGTCTTTGGGTCCTTTTATTTTTCTTGATACATTAGGCATTATAATTTTCCCATAATCTGTGTGTTATCAATGAGTTTTAGATTATTGAAGGGAATGCTATGAAATATTTGGAGCTTCTTGAACCAAATAATACTGAGAACATACTGCAGAAAACCCTAGGAGAAGTAGTTCCAATGGCCATGTCTGGTGGAGCAGGCCTGTAACCCCAGCTCCTCAGGAAAGGAGGTCGGAAGATCACAAACTCAAAGCCTTCTCAGGGTGCAGCATTCAAGGGCAGCTCAGTGAAAACCGGTCTAAAGCATAAAAGTACAAAGAGGCAGGGGACTGAGAGGTAGGGCTTGCCTGCATGTGAGAGGTCCTGGGTGCTGGTAAACTGTTCCACGTGGGAAGAGTAAAGAGAGAAGCTCTGCGATGTAATCACGCCTTGTAGAAGCATTGCGGAACAGCTCTGTGGACTGAATCCCAAGCAGCCTTGCAGAAGGATTTTATTGGTTGTTACACAAAAGTTTTCAGCAAGTCAGTTTTGAATACCAGAACCTTAGATCTGATCTAGGAGTTGTCTGAGGGACCTCATTACCTAAGCAGTTCTCAGCCATTTGAAAACTTCCTGGCTTGTCAGGAAATGTCTTGCCAGTTAAGTCATGCAAAGGCTCTGGAATTCTTACAGAAAAAAAACTTCATAAATCTCAGATAACAATCACTGATTGTTCACAAAAGATGACTTCAAAGTCTAGGTGCGCCATCACTCTGGAGTTAATGCCAGGTACAATGGCTCTTCTAAATTTCCCACTAGATCTGAGTTCAATTTTCAATACTACATAAAAGAAGCAATTCCAAGTAAATAAGCATACTTTCTTAATTTTTCATTTATTTAACCTTAGAAAGATCTTATAGAAAATAAAACCAGTGACCCTACAGCAGCCAGGATCTGTGTTGATGTTCATTGCTCCTGTTGCCACCAAGGGCTATGCTGATTCCAGGGGTCTGGGCCGCCACCTGGGGCTGCGTTGGTGTCCGAGGCTCCTGTTACCATCAAAGGCCGTGTGGATGCCCAAGGTCTGAGGCCATGGTGGTGTGGGAAGGCGGTATTGCTGCTAGGGCCGGATCTGAGGCAAGGTGGCATCCACCTTGGCGGCTGCTGAGGACCATGCTCGGATCAGTGATCGTACCCAGGCTGGGGGTCCATGTTGAAGTCCAAGACCCATGTTGCCACCAAAGGGCGCACAGAAGCCGGGGGTTGAGACCACAAGTTGTGGCCTTGTTGGTGTCCGGGATGCCATGCTGCTGCAAGACTCATCCCAATCTGAGTGGTCAGGGTTTCCACCTAGATACAGGATGTCCTCCGGGGTTGAGTTGCTGCCGGGGTCCATGGCCCAGGTGCAGCTGGTTTCTGTGTTGATGTCTGTGGCCTGTGTCACCTCGGGGGTTTGGGTGTATAGCAACCATGCGTGATGAAACCGGAGGGTCTTGCTGAGTCGCCCTGCCCTTCACTGTCCCCGGGAAAGCTGACTCTACTTCTTCACATTGCATCGAGAGCTGGCCCCTGGCCTGGGAACAGATGGCCACACCCCTCACCAGAGGTGAGGCAGAACTGACCCTGATGGCATGGGCATAGGGGAGCTGTCTCTGCCTTCTCCCCTGAAACAGGCAGCCTCAGTGGCCTGGACTGACCAGCTCAGGTACCATCCGGCCCACAGCCGGGATTTGGGTTGGCCCACCCTAGCATTTACCCCACCTAGGACCTGCTGGAGCTCATGAATAGACTGGCCTTTGGAACATACCTGCAAGATCTCCATTATGGGGCTGTCCAGGAATATCCCAGCGGAGTTCCAGTGAGGATCCAGTGATGATGGTGTACCAGAAACCAGAGGCCCTGACCCAGACCAGTGACTCATTGCTATAACATTTGCTAGTAAAACTGATTGAACAAAAGGATACACTATGTGACACACTGCTCCCAATTCCACCAGGAGGAAGGAAGACCTGTTGGAGACATGAGAAAGAGAAAGGAAGAGTTTTGAGTTTTGGGGGTTTTTTGTTGTTGTTTTTTGTTTGTTTTGTTTTGTTCTTGTTTTCGTTTGTTTGCTTTGTTTTGGGTTTTTCAAATTTTATTTGGGACACTGCAGGGGTGAGAGGAGGTTATGGGGAGGATTGTGAGGTGAGCAGATTTAGGGTGTCTGATGTGAAATTCCCAAAGAATCAATAAAGAAATTATGTTTTTAAAAAAAGAAGAAAAGAAAATCTCTATGATAATGTTGCAGGAGTCTTTCTGGAATAAGTGCTCTGACACCAATGAGAGTGGAAAATAAGAGATGAATGCATTCACCAGTGGACCAAACCCAGTTTCATTTTTATTTTACACCCTACAACCACAAGGTGGGGCAGGTGAGCAGGTAAGAAAACAGCAGTTAGCTTGGGCGCTTTGGGATTTTTGGTTGGTTGGTTGGTTTGGGTGTTTTGTTTTTTTTGTTATTATTTTGGTTTGGTGTGATCTAGTTTGGTTTAGTTTTGGGTTTTTCAAAACAGGGTTTCTCTGTGTAGCCTTGGCCATCCTGGAACAGACTCTATAGACCAGACTGGCCTTGAACTCACAGAGATCCATCTGCCTCTGCCTCCTGAGTGCTGGGATTAAAGGCCTGTGCTACCACCAGTGAGAGATTTTGGTTTTTAAAGGCCTGTCACAGTTAACTGGTGTAAGCTTTGTGTTCTGGTTGCTAAGGGCAATGACCTATTACCTATTTCGCCAGGTCATTCTACTTCAGAGAGAAAACGAAGCCATACTTGGCAAGAGGTGTACAAGCCATGCTTTAAGTGGCTTCCTAATACCTCAACAAATCAGAATCTAATAACTGTGTTTTCTACCTTATTCTACTTCATTCCCTCCTCTTATGAATCTCTCTTGGAAAAATGAGTTGGTACTCCTGGAATATCATCTGTAGTTTATTGTTTTCAGCCTCGTTTGATGAATGCTGAGAGAGTGTTCAAGATGCGTGGCCCCGACATAAGTCTTAAAATTATCATGAGACCCCATGAATGGAGCCAGCCAGGGTCCCCGTGTTCCACACTGTGCTCCATTGTCACTCCTTTGTACCTCTAGCCTAAGCCTTAATCCCTTTTTTTTTTTTTTTTCGAGGCAGGGATTCTCTGTGGCTTTGGAGGCTGTCCTGGAACTCCCTTGGTAGTCCAGGCTGGTCTCGAACTTACAGAGATCCGCCTGCCTCTGCCTCCCGAGTGCTGGGATTTAGCCTTAATCCTTTTAAACAACTCTTTGGCATTCTCTTGTGCTAGTTTTGACGGATTAGTATGGTAGAGAGAGAGATGGCTATCTTGAACTTGTTGAATGTCTATTGCACAGGCACAGTGG